TGAAATGGAGGAGTCTAGCCCTGGGTGAATATATATACATATGTACATCATACATATCTGTGTATATATTTATCAGCCTTCCTCAGGGCTATTGACTCACAGGAACTCAGGGGCTAAAGAGATAGCAGTTTTGGTGAGGGAGGTTGAGGATGGAGGTGGGATGAGGGTAGACTGACCAGGCTACTTACACTTCTCCACCATCTCCCTCATCCCACATTATTTTCTGCCCTGGGTCCATGCCCCCCAACTCTCCATCCTCAAGGAAACTTGAGCCTGCCTTTGCCTTGCTTTGAACCATGAGCAAGTGGATCCCCACGGGTCATGGCTGTGACTGCAAACTGTGTCACGAGAACAACCAAGTTTGGGAGGTGCTGTGTGCTCTGTGACCTTCTTTGAGATCCACACTTCTCAGCAGCTTATTAATAACTAGGAAACATCTACAATTTAAAAATAAAGAAAAAGCAGCAGCAGCAAGTAACCAAAGACACCCGTTGGACTCTGTGTACCCTGGCATTCTCCAACTCATTGCATTGCTGAGCGTTTTTCTTCTTAGGTGGTATTATTAACATTATGCATACACAAGTGTTCCCCTGAAGGCAGTAGGAAGCTTAGGAAATTGTTCTATAAAGGTGGGACTTGGGAGCAGTTTCAGACTTCCCATATTCTTCAGCAGTCCCTCCCCAAGGCCTCCAAAGAAACCTGCAGGCTTGTTATGCAGCTTCAAAGTAAATGCCCAAACTCAAAACAGCCCTGCCCTATGAGACTGGTGTCCCATCACTCTCAAGGCCCTGAGTGATCTGACCCCTCCTCAGCCGCCTCACACTGTACTTCCCCATCCCTCTGCAGTCCCAGCAGAAGTGAGGGGTGACTGCTCCCCCACCCACACATAACCAGCACCTTGTCATCTTCTGCGTTACCCTCTCCCACTTCAGTCCTTTGTGTGGCCAAGTCCTGCTCCTCGTGCAGATTCGCTGCAGTCCTCACTCCCCAGGAGGGAATGGGAGCAGGGTAGGGTGAGGAGCAGCCATCAGGCCATTGAAAAACACAAACCACACAACCTGTCCCAAGCACAGTTAATGGCCTCATCTTTTACCCCTGTATAGTGTACATAGAGCAACCAGCTCTGCCCTGTTTTCTGGGGCTTTCATGGTTTTAGAATGGAGGACCTCCAAGCAAGGTTCTGGCAACTGTTGCAAGGACTGAGTTAAAATGCATTACATGTTGAGACCAGCACCTGGCACCTAGTAGGCAATTATTAATTGTTTTAAAGGAACAGGAAATAACAGTCGCTTCTAACCCTGTTTCTGTTGGACAAACTGTCAAAAGACATGCTGGAAAATTTCTGAGGGCAGTTCTGGATATTTGACCTTCAATAACCATCTATGCCTACTTAAGCAAGTTGTTATTCTTTCTTTCTGAACGTTGAGGTACTTGGTGATTAGAAAAGTCTAGAAGCCCACCACTAAATCCATTTATTTATATATGCATGCATTTACTTATGCATTCAGTGAACATTTATTGAGTACCTACTAGGTGCTAGATACTAAATTGGAGGCTGCACTTGTTTACACTGTATAATAGAGTCCAGCACCCACTTGAAGTTGCTATGGTCCTGCTTCAGGTCTTACTACTGAGAAGCACTGTGAATGCTGGACCCTCCACCCTACCTGGTTCCTGGCTCCCCTGGCCCTGACTCCTGGTGTGTTCACTGGGTCCCTTTGCTGACTCGATGCCTTGTTTTACCTTCCTCCCCACTTTCACACCTATCTAGGCCTACCTGCTTCCTAGTGTGAACCCCTAGCAAGGAGTCTGTTTTCTCCTTACCCACTATGACTCCTGACACCAGCAGCTGGTTTCTTATAAGAAAGAGGCATCTGGCAGCTGCACTGGGGAGAATGACCTCACAGCACTATAATTAAAGTGATTTTCTGAGTGGAAATGACTATTATGAAGCATCCTTCTCTGTTTTATTATGCAGAGCCATTGTAATGGGAACATGGGATTTCCTATATTAACACTGATATTCCTGTGATCCAATAAATCCTTCTTCACAGTCATCTCCCAGAAGACATATGGCATTCTGTGCAGCAACTCTAGGAAACATGCAGGTCTCTGATGTCCTACACATTCCAGCCCTCTTTGGCCAGGCCATTAAGCTGTGAAAAAACGCACACAGTAACTGGGATAGTGTCATAGACTGGTCCTTCCCACAGGACAGTCAATGGAAAGACCTAAGGGAGGGCTTCAGGAATGACTCCTCAGACAGGAGCCCCGGGAAGGGCTTCTCCAAGAGAGAACGTCCACTCCAGAGGCAAGAGCACTGGCTAAGTCCTGACCTGACACTGGATGAGCTGTGTGATCATGGGCACATCACATCTCTGAGCCTTGGTGTTCTTCCTGTGACATGGGCCAATAACACCAGGCACCTCATAGGATGGCTGTGAAGACTGCATGATACAGTAGATAGAAGACAGCTAAAGCAACACCTGGTGCTATGGTTTGGATGTGGTTTGACCCTGCAAAAGCCTCATGTTGAAATTTGATTCCCAATGTGGCAGTGATGGGAGGTGGGACCTGGTGGGAGATATTTGAGTCATAGGGACAGATCCCTCATGCATAGATTATACTCCCTTGAGGAAGGAAGGGAGTTCTTTCTGTCATGAGACTGGATTAGTTACCTGAGATCAGGTTGTTATAAAACCAAATTCAGCTTTCTAAACTCTCTTGCTTTCTGTATCACCTATGGTCTCTTTGCAAATGTCTGCTCCCCTTCTGCTTTTTGCCATGAGGGGGAGCAGTATGAGGCCCTTACCAGATGCAGCCGCCCAATTTGGACTTCCCAGCCACTAGAACTGTGAGCCAAATAAACCTCTCTTCTTTATAAATTACCCAAGTATTCAGCTACAGCAACACAAAGTGAACTGAGACCCCTGGTGTAAACATCAGATACTCCACAAACATTCTGTCGTAAACATAACAAGAGTCCCTGCCTTCATACACACCACAGATAACTGTTGAGCATCTACCAGGTGGAGGCACCACCCTCAGTGCAGGCATACAGCAGAGAACTCGAATGGGCCTGCAGTGCCTGAGTTCCATCCCAGACCAGGCAGAACCTGGTTCCTGGTCTGTGCACCCCTTCTAGGATTCAGTGGGTGCACCACACTGCTCCTGTCTACTTGGGCCCATTCACAGAGCTGCTCACACCTGAGCAAAGGATGCAGCTTGGGCCAAGGTGCTGCTAGGCATGGAGAATCTTCCTGTCTGACCTCAGATTCTTGTCCTCTGTTCACAGGGCCTTATCCAGGGGTGACCCACGCCCTCACCACAATGGACATTGCCATCATTGCAGGTGAGCTGTCGTCACAGAGCCCCTCAAGCAGCCAGGGTGGGGGGCCTTGGTGAAAACATCCAGGTAGAACTGACCTAAGGACTTGAGCCGGGGTGGCTGTGGCCATTTTTTCTCTCCTTCAGAGGTGGTTTTGTATGTGAAATGGAGGAGTCTAGTCCTGGGTAAATATACATACATACGTACATGGTACATATCTGTATATATATTTATCAGCCTTCCTCAGGGCTGTTGACTCACAGGAACTCAGGGGCTGGAGAGACAGCAGTTTTGGTGAGGGAGGTTGAGGGTGGAGGTGGGATGAGGGTAGACGGACCAGGCTACTTACACTTCTCCACCATCTCCCTCATCCCACATTATTTTCTGCCCTGGGTCCATGTACCCCAACCCTCCATCCTCAAGGAAACTTGAGCCTGCCTTTGCCTTGCTTTGAACCATGAGCAAGTGGATCCCCGTGGGTCATGGCTGTGACTGCAAACCATGTTTCAAGAACAACCAAGTTTGGGAGGTGCTGTGCACTCTGTGACCTTCTTTCAGATCCACACTTCTCAGCAGTTTATTAATAACTCAGGAAACATGTACAATTTAAAAAGAAAGAAAAAGCAGCAGGAGCAAGCAGTCAAAGACACCCGTTGGACTCTGTGTACCCTGGCATTCTCCAACTCATTGCACCACTGAGCTTTTTTTGTTTTTTTTTTTTTTGAGACGAAGTCTCGCTCTGTGCCCCAGGCTGGAGTGCAGTGGCGCTATCTCGGCTCACTGCAAGCTCCGCCTCCTGGATTCACACCATTCTCCTGCCTCAGCCTCCTGAGTAGCTGGGACTACAGGTGCCCACCACCACACCCGGCTAATTAGATGGTATTATTAACATTATGCAGACACAAGTGTTCCCCTGAAGGCAGTAGGAAGTTTAGGAAATTGTTCTATAAAGGTGGGACTTGGGAGCAGTTTCAGACTTCCCATATTCTTCAGCAGTCCCTCCCCAAGGCCTCCAAAGAAACCTGCATTCTAAGAAAAGTCAGAGACCTGTTCTGCAATGTAAAAGTAAATGCCCAAACTCAAAACAGCCCAGCCCCATGAGACTGCTGCTCTATCACTCTCAAGGCCCTGAGTGATCTGACCCCTCCTCAGTCGCCTCACACTGTACTTCCCCATCCCTCCGGAGTCCCAGCAGAAGTGAGGGGTGACTGCTCCCCCACCCACACATAACCAGCACCTTGCCATCCTCTGCGTTACCCTCTCCCACTTCAGTCCTTTGTGTGGCCAAGTCCTGCTCCTCCTGCAGATTGGCTGCAGTCCTCACTCCCCAGAATGGGAGCAGGGTAGGGTGAGGAGCAGCCATCAGGCCATTGAAAAACACAAACCACACAACCTGTCCCAAGCACAGTTAATAGCCTCATCTTTTTTCCCCCTGTATAGTGTACATAGAGCAACCAACTCTGCCCTGTTTTCTGGGACTTTCTGGTTTTATAATTAAAAATATCCAAACAAAGTTCAGTCCTGGGGTATGATTCTAGACTGTCTGCAGAATGCTTAGTAGCAGAATTGTGGGGAAGAAAAAGAGGAGGGAGGGAAGGAAGGAGACGAGAGAAGGGGAGAGGAGGATCATTTTAGGAAGGCACAGGTTACAGGGCCAGCACACAACAGGCTGGTGAAGCATGGGGAAGGAATGAACTGGCCTGTCTGGCTTTGGCACAGTTGTCTCCGATGTACAAGCGTTCAACTTATGAGTTCTTGAGTTTGCAATGGCATGAACGCAAACACATTCAGTAGGAACCATACTTTGAATTTTGAACTTAGACCATTTCCCAGGCTGGCAATATATAGTATGATGCACTACATTATAAAATATGGGTCAGATGATTTTGCACAACTTTAGATTAATGTAAGTGTTCTGAGTCTGCTTAAGGTAGGCTAGGCCAGGCTTTGATGCTCAGTAGGTTTGGAGTATTAAATGTAATTTTCGTTTACAGTATTTTTAACTTATTATGGGCTTACAGGAACCTGGCCCCCATCATAAATCAAGGAGCACCTGTTTTGGTTGTGGCAGTATATCTGTCCTCACACAACCCCTGTGGGTCTTGACCCCCATCCCAGATCCCAGGGCCTCTGCCTCAGACTGACCCTTGCACCTCTTCCCACCTGCAGTCGTGATTGCTGTTGTGGTCATCGTCCTAGTCTGCCTCCTCTTCGTCTTGCTGCACTACATGTACCGGCACAAGGGCACGTACCACACCAATGAGGCCAAGGGCACGGAGTTTGCTGAGAGTGCAGATGCAGCCCTGCAGGGCGACCCTGCCCTCCAAGATGCTGGTGACAATAGCAGAAAGGAGTACTTTATTTGAGGGACAACAGACTTCACTTCCCTGAATGCCTCCTCCAGCTCCATCGGGAAAAACATACCCCATCGCCCAGCAGCACCCCTACTGATACCACCAGGCAGAAAGAGAGACAGCACTTGCTCCTTCCCGAGATAGGCACCTGGAAACACTAGGTACCTGCCCAGGGAGGAACGGAGGAGGACTCGCGCTGCAAGAGGCCTCTCCCAGGGACCCAGGGAGGCGGTGGCCACCCCAGAGGTCACCCTTTGCTTCGCGGAGGTGGGAGAAAATCTGGGCACACGGGGCCCCCTGGGTAGTGCAGGACGGTATCAGCTCACTGGCAGGAAAGTCCTTGTTGAGGGAGAGGGGGTGCCGGGGTACCCGGGGGCTGGGGAAGCAAGGAAATAAGTCATCTGTGTGCTGACTGGGGATAATGGCATCAAATGTCAGTCCTTGACATTTGGGGGGAACAGCAGGTGCCAGAGCTAAAAGGTACCTTTGTCTCCCATTGATCCAGCTCAAAACGATTGGAAATAAATTTGAAATGTAACCGAGCATTCAGAGTCCAACAGTATTACTGTAGTTGTCTGGGGAAAGATAAACGCCACCCAGGGCTTGCTTTTCACCTGTGCAATGCTATGTTCTCTGACGGGGCCTGGACAGTTCATTTCTGGCTCCCGTCGGGGCCAGTTCTCAGAGAGCACAGCCAGTACAGGCGGCTCCCAAGCCTGCCAAGGGAGGAAGGACAGTGAGCAGCTTTCCTTTCCCTACAGGAGCACCAGCTGCATGAAACAAAAGGAAGGGTGAAATGTCCCTCTAGAAATAGCCTGTCCCAGCAGCCAGGGCGCTGGCTGAAGTGTTGATTTTCCAAGGTGCAGTATGAGAACAAATGGACCTGATCCAAAAATATGAGTGAATCTCATCCTTCCAGTCACAGTGACCATGATACCCCGTGGTGCAGAGCTCTACTCCCTGGCTTTGGGTCCCAGCTCCCCTTTCCTGGTCCCAGGACCTTGAACAACTTGGTTGACCCCTCTGGCCTCCGTGTTCTCCTCCCTTATGTGGAAATGTTGCTGATAATGGCACCTCTGTTGTGCCTGACTCCAAGCGTTGAGGGTCAAGTGCTCAGACCTCCCTATCTTCCAGCGTCAACAACTGCGTGCAGCGGTAAACAAACATTCCACATTGCACTACTTCTGCACACTTCCTGAGGAGTAGCCATAATTCAAAATAACAGAGTAACAGAAAGAGATGAACTGGTTAACCAACCCCTTCCAGGCGAGTTTTTCCAAGATTCCCAACAGCTCAGCTGTCACTCCAAGGACCAGCAGCTGTGAGGTTAAAGACTGCACGCCAGGTGCTGGGGTCACCTAGGTACTCCCTGGGGCTGCGGCTTCTTGAGGCTGCACCATCTCCACCTGGGGGTTGGCAGAAAGGTCCCAAAGATCTCTCTGGGAGGATTATGGGGATGCGACCTCAGTGGGAGGTCCACCTGCCAGAGGAGCTGGCAGTCCTGGGGCCGTGGTGGGGGAGATGAGCTGGGAGCTCACAGAAGCAGTGACGGCAGAAGCCTGGTCCAAAAGTGAGAACTTTCCCTGGTGACCCAAGCTCGCAGGCCTTCATCTATGAAACAAAGGGCTTGACTGTATCTGCATGGCCAACACTGATCTTCAGAACAGCAGCGTGGCAAAGACGGCAATAAACAGTCCCAACAAATACGCGCAACTCAGTTTAGAAAATGATGTATCATGCAAAGTGAAAGCAGTGCAGGTTCCTCAGCATCTTCACTGGCCCAGTGTGGATGCTGACTCTGGTGGGAGGGGAGCAGTGCACACAACCTTTCCCAGGCATGTTGACCCAAAGACCCCATTTGCCCACAGGATACCTGCTAGGAGCTCATGGACCAAGTGGTCCTCGAAGCACATTTTGGAAACACTCAGGTAAACGGTTCTAACATCCCTTCCTGTGGCAATACCATTTCAGGTTTTTGAGCACCCGTATCTTCCAGGTTTGGGAGCACAGATCACTGTCCGGTGAGCACAGAGGAGGCACCAGAACCTACACATAGACATGCGTTGGGGTGAAAAGTCTCTAGAAGAGGATGAACCCGGGGCTCTCCAGGCCTCCTAGACAGCAGGTGCCTATGTGGGGGAAGGATGACGGTAACTCATTCCTTTCTCCCTCACTGGGCCCAGGAGCTGTCTATACTAAGCTTGACTCCCTGGCCACTCACCTCCCCTTCCTCACCTCCTTTTATCCTCACTCTTTTGCCTGCACAGTGTCCTGGAAAACAATTGAAACACAGTCTATTCCCAGTCCACTGGGTCCCCAGACCCAGCCAGAATCAGGCTCAGTAGCAGTAGTGATGACAGAAGTTGCAGAGCTGGGCTGTCCCAGGTGGCCTAGCTCAGATGCCACAAGGAGGGAGCTGTCACAGGCTAACTGCAGAGGCCAGACGGCCACACCAGAGAGCAGGACAACTTAAAGAGATAATGCACACACACACACAGAGAGTGCACACCAGTGGACACTGGTGGGCAATTAATAATGCTCTCTTAGATTAGGGACCAGGTTTTTAAATCTTTGATTCTTCCTCCAGCAATGCACTAAGTCATTCTGCAGCATGCCTGCAACCAATGTTGGTTGCGGTAAATAACGCACAAATTTGCACATACCAAAGAGTCAAAAAAACCGTTAAGAAGGAAGAAAGAGGAGAGGAAAGGAAGAGAGGGGATGGGGCAGAGAAGGGCTGGAGGAAGAAGGAAAGGCACAGAGCTCTGTCTGTAGAAAATCCCAGCTTCTTTGCACATAAGCCTCCTTTAATCCTCGAAATAATCCTGGCAAGTGGATATCCTTATCCTCCCTTTAGATCTGTAGAAATTGAGGCTCAGAAGGGTCAATGAGCTTTGCTGGAGGTCTCACAGCTGCTAATGGCAGAGGAGCCATTTAACTCAGGCCTGTCTGGCCTCCCTTCAGCAGGTTGAGATGAGTCAGCAGGAGCTCCCCAGGGAGCAGAGCAGGTGGCATCAAGACTCATGGATGCTGGCATGACTCACCAGTGCTGGGATCAGAGAATCCTCAGCCAGGTCTCTGCCACCCAGTGGCCCTGAACAGTGATGGCCCAGGCACCTCTGCCAGCATCCCCATCCCCAGTCAGAGCTGGCCTGGTTGAGAGGTCACTCCTCGTGCTGGGGAGAGATGATGCAGTGGAGCCTGCTTTTGGTGGGACGATTAGCTTATAGAGATAGCAAGTGCTGCTAGCCCGGTCACTCCTCATCCACACTTCCAGCACCCAGGACACTTGCACCCGGGCCACTCTTACGAAAAGGAAAGTGATCATCTAGATTACATCAAGCCAAAGCTTCCCTACCAACCTTTCTTAGATGATTTGTGCTTCTTCAAAGTGCTCGTTCCCAAACTAAGAGTATTTAGTGATTAAATTTCAGATCCAGAGACAGGTAATATATATGTGTGTGTGTCTGAGTATACTGCTGTAATCCACAAACATTTATTAGGTACCATGTAAGTTTTGGAATTACATAGCTGAATATAGCAGCCTCTGCCTTCAGGGGTCCATGGCTTAGGGGAGAAGATAAACATGTAAATGTATATAAGCCCTAAAGTATTATGGATGCTGAGAGAGTAGTGATACAAATCAATTTAAAACACTAAGGAGATTAGAGATCAGTTCCATCTTGCGAGTGAGATGGACTTAGGAAAGGCTTTAGAGAGGAAGGGAGGCTTGGGCCAGTTACACGGTATATAAGGGCTTGACCATAGAGCGTCTTTGGTCCCAAGCTAAGAAATTTGGATTCTGTTGCATAGGTAATAAAGAGTCACTAAAGGAATAGGTCAGTCTCTATCATACGGATAAGATAATGATCAAATTAAACAAGACAAAAGATAAAAATGCACCATGGAAATTCACACAGGGGCTTCAAAAGGTCTAGCAAGGCTCAGACCCTGCCCGAGGAGCTGGAGGCCTCCCCACCCTGGGGCTCACCCGCTGCTCCAGCTGCCCCATTGTTTAGTCTGAGTTTCACATGACTCGGCCCATCCTGCCTGGAGAGAGATGGATCTCATCCATTCCCCAGAAGAGGCAGCAGGAGGTCAAGGCTTTGAGCCAACTGTTACGTAAATATTAAAGAGAATTTTCTCTTCTTTTTTAATGGAAGGAACTCCCCTTCATGATTTTATCTTTTTGTCCTCCCTGGAGAGAAGCTGCTCAATTGTTTTCATTCCTTACCTAAATATTTTTATCATCGTAGCAACGGGAATGATTTAGGGGCCAACAGGATTTTAACTGGCCCAGTGCCACAAGTGGAACTACAGGCATTTTAATGTTTGCAATTTAGCATGTCAGCACGATGTTATGAAAAGAGAGTGGCTCTGGAATTGGACAGACTTGGACAAAAATCTTATCTCAGACACTTAACTAGCTCTGTGTGACCTAGGAAGAGTTACTTAATTTTCCGTGCTCCAGGATCCTTACCAGTAACATGATGGCCAAAATATTTGCATTTTCATGTTTTGAATAGTAATTTAAATGAGGATATAAGCTTGCCAAGAACTGTGAAGGGTCTGAGGTTTTGCCCTGCTTTTAAGTGAGCAATTTGGCCTACACCAGTTTCATAGATGCTGACATAGATGAGATTCCTGGGTCAGAGACAAAGGCACGTACAGCCCAGCAAGCAGTATGACATCAGCATATTTGAATGACATCTCCTCATCTCCAAGTTACCTCTCCAAGTTACATAGGACGTTTATCCATATGGTGGGTTGAGTTCCAGAAGAGAAACCTTGAACCAAGAAAATGAGAATCTCATAATGGGCAGTAAAATGCCTGCCTTTTGCACTGGATGGAGCTACTACTTGGTCTTCCAAGTCTGTTTAATACACAAACAGCCTGGAAAACGTAGTCAAGAACACAGTGCAGTTCCTGCCTCACTCAACAGACGTGAAAAATGCAAGAGACCCTTGGAGAATTGTCTCCCAACAAGGTAGGCACTGCCTAACATCATGCCTGGTACCTGTGAGTACTCAATAAATACATGTTGAATGAACAACACAATGCACTAAATAACAGGGCTCATAGTGAGTCGAGATTGTGCCACTGCACTCCAGCCTGGGTGACAGAGCGAGACTCCGTCTCAAAAAAAAAAAAGTAGAAAACTTTTCTTCTCCATCCTCTGGCCAGTGTATGAGAGATCTCACTGCAGGCTTGTCTTTTTTATTGGTTTGCTATGACAGGAACACATAGAGGCATACAGCTGCGAGAATGTCTTGGTTCATGGGTGGATCCATAAATCCAGAGCCCTGGCAAGAAGGTTGGGTGGAGTTCGCCAGCCTCTATTCTAAGATCATCCTGTAATCAAGAGGTCTCTTGCCAACATTATAGACCTCCAAAGCTGATGTTAAGATATGCAGATCTCCTAGTCGTTTTAGAACCAAATACATTAGCCACCTTTTATTTTTTAAGTAGCTGAAATTATTATCATTTTTTCTCTCTCAAAAAGTACTTAGAAACAAGTTCTATATACAGCTCTCTCAAGATAAA